AAAAAAACTTCATGCACAGTGTTTGTTTGCCCTCCTTTCATTTGAGAAGGTGAGTGCTACCCTGCTCTCTTTCTCGTAAGCAGCTGGTGATTGTGCGTAATTTGCGCTGGTGTTCTGCCGGACAGGTCTGATGACACTGAACACATCGCGCTGGGTGGAGTTACAGTAGGGCTCGTGTAGCAGGAGGAGCTCCGCGTCCTGCACTGGAGAAATGATGACTTAAAGACACACACAGATGTTTGCTCGAGGTTTAGAAGTAGCCGTGTTTCAGATCAGGCGTTGGCCGCTGCGCGTAATTACGCATGTGTGACGTGTTCCTGTGCTTCCCAAATGTCTTAATGTTGGCTTTTAAGGGTAATACTGCATTTTTCAGTCAAAGGTAATAGCGTCGTCTCTGAGGAGTCACTAGTTGTCTTGACTGGGTGGAGTTCGATATCATTTTAGATGCTTTTGCCACTTTGTATTTAAAAAGTGCTGGATTTGTGAAGTTTTAGCACTTTGTTGGTCAGTATGGGCTAGGCTTGTGCAGCTTTTATTGACGTGCTTGTTTGCACTATTAAAAAGAGAGCTCATCCAAAAACAGTCATCATTTCTCTCCTCGTGTTGTTTCAAACTGACTTTATTCAATGAAACACTAAAGATATTTTGAAAAATCTTGGTGAACACATAGATTTGATGTGAAATAGTCTTTATGTGTGTTCTACGGAAGAGCCAAACAATAGTTTGGAAAGATAAGGGGTTGGGAGTAAATGAGATAATTAAGTGAACTGTCCCTTTAATCTACATACTTCTGAGATCTCAATGTGCCTCAACATTTTTAAAGAGAGACAGTTCACCCCAAAATTAAAATGGTCACTATTTACTCTCCGCCAAGCTGTTTTAAACCTGTACGAGTTTCTTTCAGCTGCCGAACACAAAAGAAGATATTTTGGCGAATGTTGGGAACCAAACAGCTGCTGGTCCCCATTGACTTCCGCGGTAGTTTTTTCATACTGTGGAATTCAATGGCTACCGTCGAGTGTTTCCTCATCCATATTAATCTAAATATCTTCTATGTTCAGTGGATGAAAGACATTCATACAGGTTTGGAACGACACGAGGGTGTGTAAATGACAGAACGGTCATTTTTTAAGTGAAAATATCCCTTTAATTTCCAAAGACAGTCCTA